AATTTAATATCTGATTTGGTGGCAACAATTCATAGTACTGTTCCTTTCAGGGCTGTAGACTCACTAGGGAAAAATGATCTACTCCGACTCTGACTCAACTACGACTCCCTCATATGTATAAACATATACACATGGGTTACAGGTTATTTTTCTTAATATAAAAGAAGCAATAGATGCTACAGAAAAAAATAGATGGCATAGAAAATTATTTATATTAATTAGCATTTACAGTACAAAGTCCATAATCCAGACTCGTTGGGACCTCAGATCAGGAATTTAAATCTGGTAAGATGGCATGCAGAAATAATACAATTACAAATATGAAACCATAATTTATTAAATAAAGAGCATTTATGATCGAAAGGGTATCAAAATTTACAAAAAAAAGCTTAATATTTTATTTGTTTACTTTATTAAACATTTCTTTCAATGTAAGTCGTTTAAGTTGCTTCGTTTTTTGTGCTAATACTTTTTCTTTAGTTCTATAAACAGACATAATTTCTTGTTCAGTTACAAAGTTCCACTGTTCAAGTCCTGTAATTGCTGTGTCGAGAATACTGACTAATTTGTCAATCGAAATTTTTTTGTTTTTAATTAACCTCTCTGTCACTTTCTTCACTATCGGAAGCTGTGTTTTCTGGATCTAGAACCGTACTACAGATTTCGCCGTACGTTGATTGATGATTGGGGCATTGTCGTCGCAATGAAAACTTCTGTTATATCATCTTCATTTATTACCGCTTCTCCACACTTCTTTACAAAATCCAATAATTGGAAAATTTCACCTTTAGTTTGCGATATCCGAAAACCTTCAAATTCGCAGCTATCATCTTCATCACCCTCACCATAAAATATAGCAGCTGGCCATAAATTATGCCATGCATTTTTTAACGCATCTGGAGACGCACTATCCGATGATCTTGTGATGCTTCACACAGCAGGTTTTATGCTAAAATACTTCAAAAATTCTTGAACTGTCTTGCCATTGTTCAAGAAATTTAACATAGATTTTAAAAATGCTACTTTATATTTGCATTTCAGCACGTGCACTATTCCCATATCCATAGGCTGAATGATAGACGCACAATCTGGAGGGAAGAATAATACGGATACATTATCTTTCACTAAAACTTTAAGTAAGTATGAGTCTAACAGTTGTCTACAATCAGGACTATTTTTGAGTCATCAGGTAAACCAACCGAATTCAAATGTTGCCAAGTCTCGGGCATAAAATGATTTTCAAACCAATCATTCATTAACGCTTGTGTCATCTATGCTCTTTTATTTGCACGATATATAATGGGGAAAATCGTTACTCCTCTAAATGCTCGCGGTCTTGCCTGTTTTTTGATTACAAAAAGTTTGCACTTGTGCATTCCTGCAGCATTTGCGCACGCTGAAATTGTTAGTCTCGCTTTGGAATCTTTGACACCAGTTGGAGCCTTTTCTGTAGAGGTTGCCAATGTATTTCGTGGCACATATTGCCAGAAAAGACCAATGAATTCATCTGTGAATTGTTCAGCAGCTTCAGTATCAACTGAAGCTTTTTCACCTGAAATTTTTAATTGTTTTATACCATGGAGATTTTTAAATTTGGTTAACCAACCTGTCAAATATGTGCACTCAGTGTTCAAGTTCATTTCTTAATAAAATATTTTGGCTTGAGCCATTAGCATTGGACACGTCAATGGCACGCCCTCGCTGCGACGCTGTCTGACCCATTCAGTCATCACTTTGTCATGATCGTCACTTTTAGCATAACGAATTCGTTTTCTGTTATTCATTACAAGTGGGGTGTTGGAATCCACAAAAAATTCAAAAAGTTTCTTTTCTTTTTTGCTCATGTCATATACAGTTTACTTTCCAATGTCATACTCCTCGCATATTTTTGAAACACGTATGCCTTTATCCACTTTTTGTTTGATGGACATCGAAACATGCTTTCGCTTTGTAGATCCTTTGACAGCTCCAGAATTGGAAACTCTTTTTGAGTTAATCAAAAGTTCAAGCTTAATTTTTATAAAATTGCTCTAACAATCTGCAAAAAATAATAAGCCGGATCCAATTAGAAGATTAAGGAACAGCTCAATCTGCAACATTAACTGAAATGCCTTAAAATCAGTAAAGATAATTTTAGCCTAGCTTATACCGTCCATTACACATTAAAGGCACAAGCGTAAAGCAAAAAAAAAAAAAAAAAAAAAAAAAAAATTGTGTCTTTGTAGTCCGGATCATAGATTATTCTGGATAATGGACATCCGGATTATGGACTTTGTACTGTATTATGAAATGGAAAAACTGGCATTAGTTATTTCTAAGAAACAGTATAGATTTGGCAAGATTTTCTTTGTTGGAGGGTCATAGATCCGATTTGATAAACTTCAGAGCTGAGAAGAGTCTTTCCATATCAACTTGAGTAAGAGGGAGAGCTGTTACTGTTATGGCTACTTCTTTTAACTTTTCAAGATAGATTTTTACAAGTTCTAAAAGAAGTGTCTTGCAAGTGCAATCATATTTCTCTATTTCTTCAAAGGCCTTGTAGAAATCTTGTTTGTGTTTTTTCATTTTTAAATCTAAAGGCTCTTGTTTTTTTTTTTTTTTTTTTTTTTTTTTTTTTTATTTCTTCACTTTCTTTGCCTTAGCCTTTTCAATATTATCCAAAAATATTTCTCAAAATCTAATTCATCAATGGAAAAGGATGATAGAGACTCAATTGCAATGTCTGCAGTTTGATGTCCTGATTCAAATCCCCATTGTTCTGAGAATAATTTCATTCTTAATAAAAGTTCATAGATGACTTTCTTTGCCTTTTTAATTTGTTCGTCATCCAAGGAATTTCGGTGTTTCGGATCTCCATATGTTAAGCCCAGCAAGATCTCATTGTGTAGCAAACTAGTTTCTCTTTTCCTCATTGAAGAAATGATTCCTTCTGCAATAAACCCGCTATTTCAGAAAGAACAAACATCCCATTCTCACCTTCTGTCAATTCTTCAGATTGCCGCTTTTTTGTGGCTATATACGGTTTAGAAAGAAGAGTTTCCAATTCTGCAAGATCATTCCATAGTCTTTCTGTTAGTAAAACATTAGGGTTATCTACATCTCCTAAAAAAATTCTTAATTCTAAAAACCTCTTTATCATCAAATATGTACTTCCTTATCACATTGCTTGATCAATAATTGCTCCTTTTCCTGCTTGCTTCCTAAGAATGGCATCAATTTTAGGAGTTCTTGCTGCTATTGCTGCTTACCTAAATTTACCAGCAAGATTTGTAACTAAATGAATCAGTTTAATCACTAATGGCAAATATCACATCCATCCTCCTCCCTTATATTTATTTATTGATAGGTCAATAAAATATAAAATAACTATTTATTAATGTATACAATCCATAAATAAAAATAATAACTCAGCTTGTCATTAATTTTTTCAATACATTTTAACTTCAGTTCAAATTTAACCTGTTCAATGAAAACTGGAGTCGGAGTCGACCTGTTTTTAGCGACTCCAGCTCTGACTTCTTTTAACCCAAAATCTGCCTGATTCTGACTGCATGACTCCGACTCCACAGCAGTGGTTCCTTTGTAGTGCCACCATGCACAAAACATTACTTTTTTAGGGATGTAGCCCACTTCTTGATGTTACTATTTGAAGTTACTAGTGGAAATTCTTTTGGCTAACCTCATGATTTTTTTTTTCTTGTACCATTATTGTAAAATATCTATTTCTTGGCATGAAGAATGAGTTTTTTCAAGAAAGGAACTTCTATATTTCTTTCTACAAATATTCTGCTGTGTTAAGTTATGGAGTATCCATATACTGTAGAAGCTTAGACGCTTAATTTTTCAAATGATCATGTACTGTACTGTATGGGAAATTTAGTCTATAATTCTCATATATAATGTGAATTAACAGTTGTAGCTTCTTTTCTAGGTATTTGTTTACAGAGAATGTTTGTCCAGAGTAGGTATCATCATCGAGGCTGAAATTTCCTCGCTTAAAACTTCTTAAATCACCTTTAAACTGTCTCATCAGAAACAGCATTTTGCAACATGTAGCACAAATTTTAGAAGTACTCTTGACTAATAGTTTTTTTCGTTTTTTTAAAATAGAAGAGCACAATATGACAAAATGAACTTTTGGGTTCTCCATTTTTAATACTACACTAAAACAAAAGTTGTGCTATGCTGGACTTTTGAAAGACTGTATTTAAACTTCCTCTTCTTATAACTGATGACAAAATAATTAATGATAGCAACAAAATAATTTGAAGAAAATGTACTTCAGTTTGGGGGAGGGGGGGAAGGGACCTTTTCAGATAACCCAATATAAATATGACAAATTTAAAAGTTTGTTTTTCTGTTTATTCCACCAAAGTGAAAGAAATATATTTTTTCATGTTGTACACTTTGGGAGAAACTTGGCCAATCTGTTAAAAATATAACCATGAATAATTGTAAAAAACATAAATGTTTCATGAAGTGAGTTATTCCATCAAACCAATTTTGTTTCACGTATTTTCGTCCAATGGCATTATCATTGACTTCAGCAACACTTTTGTGTTGTGTTAGCAGTACAGCGTAACTTTATAATATAGTTATTTGAACAAAATCTTGCACTACAGATAATTCCTTTTAGCTTAAGAATTTAATGTCATAAATTGGTAGCTGCCAAATTATATAATTCATTCAAGGGTACTACTCCTTAACTCGTATTTAGATCGGTGTCAGTTAAAAATGTGCCGCTTTTTGTGTGTGTGTGTGTGTGTAAAATTATGGAATAATAATAGTGTTCAAAAGGCCAATAAAATTAGTTCTATAAAAAGTAAATTTCTTTTTAATTTTTTAATGTGGAAGATTCTACACATAATTAAAAAAATAACAAAATGAATTCAGTCTAAACAGATGGCATAAAATTACAAATGCCATTCAGTACTGCAGAAAAAATTAATGTTTTTTAATATAATCTATGCCACAGAAATTCTGTCTAGTATGACTAAATGATGGTGAGCAGTACCCCACTGACATTTATTTCTTCCTTTAGGACTCCCCAACAATCGCTTCACAGTTTGGGTATGTCGCCCAGTTTCGAAGTGTACAAAATTATAACCATGAATCGCAGTGAGATGTTCGTACCCAGCATTTCTTTTATCCTTTCCAGCAGTCTGAAAATATAATGGTGCCATAAGTGATGCTTTTCTGAATGGCAGTCATCAGTATTGTAGTACAACGATTGAGAACTGCAACCAGAAAACTTTCTTTGCTTTCACAGTATAAACCCTCCAATATCCATACAGAAGAACGTGTTCAACATTGTCTTTTTTTCTTTTTGTGAAAAGGCTTTCGCCTATTTTTACAATTTTGCTAAGTTCGCCGATTTAATTTCTTTTACAAGACATCAAACTATTTGCACCAATCTACTGTTTTGTGATGGCTGATTTTTAACTAAATTGGCAAAATTCAGTCGACGTCAATTCCTGACACCACAGATAGATAAAGTGAATGGCATTGAGGAAAGAAAGATGCAAGCCTTCAAACCATGTTTTGGTTCTCAATCTTTTTTTTCTTTCAGCAAGAACGTACAAAACAGTGCCATACAGAAGCTTTATTTGAGTCAAAAGTTAACTTAATCAGATGATTTTGAGAACAAAGTTTATTGCTATGGAATTACCCCTTTGTCCTGGAAGAATCTTATGGCAGCCTCTTCATTATTAGGTAATTACCAAATTCTGTAATCCATAGTAATAAAAAAATGGCAAAAAAGTAACGAATGATGATAATTTAAATGAAAACTAGAAATCTTGAGCAATGGTATATTTATATTCTTGAGTCACAATATTTGACGTGGTTGTTAGCACATTTTTAACTGAACGCCACTTAAATGGAATTGTACCTATTCAAGTTCCAGCACCAAAATATTACATAAAGGACATGTGTGGATTGATTAACAATTGGTCACAATAACATTGTTCATAGCGTAACTTTATTATACTGTTGGCACACTTTCATATACTGTGAATATCCCTGATTGATTATTGTTATTGAGCGTTTTAATCTTATTTGACTGTTATATAAAATATATATGCATATAAAACTGCTTACTCATATTTTCAAATATTTCATTCCACAGCCAGGTTTTTGAGCGAAAGCCAGTACACATTGCCAAAAGAAATGAAAGTCCAGATTATTTTAAAACAGTAATGAGTTGTAAGCATTTTGATAACATGATGAGAGAAGTAAGTAAAATGTTTTTTAAAAATTTATTTCCTTCTACCATTTTTAATGTATTTAAAGAAAAGTATTCAATATATCTCACATGACTGATAAACAATTATTGTATGAATTTCAACTCAAAGAACATAACTTTAGAGTTTACTATTCTTATAAACATGGAGAAAATTCCTGTTCAGTAGGATTTTTATGAATTTTAAAAAGGCAAATGATAGCTAATTTTTAAAATCATGCAAAAAATTAGTTTTTTAAATGTTAAACTAAATTGTTGATGTAGCATAAAATGAAATTCGAATACTTATGTATTATCTTGTCAGACATGAAAGTTGCCTTCATGCCATGCCGAAGTTGCACCGATCATACAAACGGAATTCTGAAGAATTTTTGCGCCAAAAATTGCCGCTACTCAAAGCCAAAATAACAAGTTGAAGATTTGCGCAAACTTGGTGTTCATGTACTGCCAATTTTTGCCAAAGGGCCACCTGTAAATATATTTTTACCCTTGCTTTCCCCCCCCCCTTCTCAGAAAAGCTTTCTTTGATTTCTACTATTTTGTGAAGCTCTCTTTAGAATGCTATAAGTGCAAACTCCCCATGGGTAATGGTTTCCATATATTTGTATTTTATGGGCTATATTCAGTTGTCCATAATATGGATCCAATAACTTTGAAAATAATCCACTATTTGCCATTCTGGAGAAGGCAGGTCCCAAATTTTAAAAAATATTTTTTCAAAACACAAGGAAAAAACACAACAATAACAATTAATTTATATTTTTATTCATAAAATGAAAAGATGGCTTTGTTAAAATCATTTGGGGTTACATTAAATGAAAGTGCAGGTATTATGAGTGTGTAGTTACATCCTATTTACCCATAATTGGTGCTAAAACTCATTCATTGGTGTTAGTATAGAAATCGATACGATAAATGTTAAGTACCAAAATTACCGAAACATTTGTACTTCGGTACTTAAGTATTATCGCAACCAGGTTGGCGCTATTTGTAACTTTGAGTAAAAAAGTATGAATAGAAAGAAAATGTACATTTATTAATTACAGATAAATTTTAATACAGTTTTTTATATTATTTTTGTTTTAAAATATAAAAGCAATTGAACGCCTTCCGGTTTCGAATTTAATAAGTTGAACCCTACTTAAATCTTAGACCCCTTAAACGGCAACCCTACGTTATACGTAGTTTTAAAAGAGCATGTGAGATTTCACAAATTTTCCTGCATTTTCGTGCAAATTTTTGTAATTTATGAAAAATAGCAGTGTACATGGATAAAGTCAAGAGTGTGCGCAATGCCCTTTTTGGCAATTCTGGGATGTTTTTTTAAGTAAAATAAGTCGACGTGTACATGGTTATGGCGAATACGGTTTTTCAATCAGTGCTAAAAAGCAGAGCCAAAATTCCGCCGAAAAAATAATTCTGCACTTAATATTGAAATTCGAACCGGATGGGTTTAATAATTTGCCGAATTATTTTTCGGCGGAAATCTTTTGTCTCTTGCTTTTAGCACTGATTGAAACGTATTCGCCATAAACCTGTACACGTTACTTATTTTTACTTAAAAAAAAATCCCAGAATTGCACAAAAATGGCATTGCGCACACTCTTGTCTTTATATCCATGTACACGCTATTTTTCTCATAAATTACAAAAATTTGCCGAAAATGCGAAAATTTTGGAACTCCACATGCTCTTTTACAAAACTACATACAACACGTAGGGTTGCCGTAAGTAGGGTCGCCAAATTTGGCAATTTATGCGAATTTTGGCCTGGTTGCGTTAATACGTAAGTACCGTACTTCCTTGTACAAAGTAAAAAGGCAGTATTGTGATCGCGAAAAGTTTCAGACATCTTATTTCAACAAAAATATCCATTTTCACCACTATCGAATGAATGCAATTTAACGATGTTTTTGCACGACATCTGTACGTAAGGACAGAATAAAGGACTTCCCCCCAAAAAAAAAATTATAAAACTAATTTAAAGTGAATTCTGAAGAGAATTTTCTGGCGTCTGTATGTATGTACGTATCTTACTAACTCAAAAATGAGTAGCTTCAGAATGTTGAAATTTTATATATAGGACTGCTATAACATGTAGATGTGCACCTCATATTTTGGTTGCACTAAAAGTATATAAATATGTGTATATATCCACTCTGTTACTCAGCTCAGTGATCTCTATTTCTTTATACTTATATGTTTGTAAATGATTGAATTATATTGTTCTTATTTTCTGATTAAAGTTTTTATGCCGGTTAAGGTGTGCTTTAGTAAATCTGCATGCATTATTTGTAGAATTATCAACAATTTAAAAATTGTTTAAGTGTTGCTAAGCCTAATTATTTTTGCCTTGGTGGCCATGTTTCTTTACATTTGAAACAGCAGTATAGTAGATTTGCTGCCAATCTAGAGAAACTAAGCTTTGCAACAATGAAGGAAATGCCTTTTTTTATTATTGCGAACTAAATCACGCTTGTTGTTGTTGTTACTAATCTCCATGCTTAGGAATATACTAGACGAGGTCCACGAGTCCATTCACCTTTAGAAAAGCGAAACAAGCTTCGAGAACTGTAAGGTCCACAAGAGACACTCCAGGCCTCAAGATGGTGCCAGTGATGCGGGTGCTTCTGACCTTAGAACATTGGGTGCTCTTGACAAACCACTGTAAAAGTAGTCCCCTCAATTCCCACTAAAATCAGAAAGTGTTGTCTGAACACCTTTTTGCAATCCCATAGCAAAGGATCCCAGGACATCAGCTTGATACCAGGGATGACTCGGGGCAATGAGCCAAATTTGCCTGTCGGCATGTCTTACTGGAATGCACTTTCAAATATTCAGTGATTGATAATTGCAAAGTTCTTCAAAGCCTCATCGCCAGAATGTCTGCCATTTCTTCCCCCATATATCACATGAAGGAATCACCGAGATTGCACTTCACGAGTGACTAGACCTGCCTAACAAAGATTAAGTTTGCCGAGATTGCATCATGTTTAATTTCTTCTGTATTTATTTGAAGAATAGGTGTTTAAGATTTGCTTCGTAATTTTAGTATACATATTTTGAGTTTTTATGTATATGAGTGAAGACTGAATATTGAATGAAAATTATTGAATCGTCTGTGGAAAAAAACTTTTTTTTTTTTTTTTTTTTTTTTTTTTTTTTTACCCTTTTTCTTTTTTTTTTTTTCTCTTGTGCTGTGGTGTCTTTTAAAAACGTGTTGACAGTTATAGATAATTCCTTCAGATGGTATAATTTTTGCATTCGAGTTATAAATGATGAAATGTAATGCTGTTAGGGGAACTTAGCACCAGAGTGTCACTATGGTAAACACATATAGTGAATTTTAAGAAGTGTATTTATTTTATTTTGGTTTATGCCCTATCAACGAAGTAGATTTAATTCAATCCAATAAGTTTAAATGAAATGCAATAAAAAGTGTGTATAGTTTAATATTCCATACAAGGGAAGTCATGTGGTGTACACATCAGATTGTTTTATTTTATGGAAGTTACTTGCTACATAACTGTGTTGAGTATGGTTTCATCTGAATTTTAATTTAATTAATATGAAGCAATTATGTTATTTGTGAGGTTTTTTTAACATGATTTTTGGCTCGCTTCCCTTTGAATGTTTTTAACAGATTGTATACAATGCATGTTAAATCTTCGTAGCCTCATGTGCTTTGCCTTCAACAACTACATTAACGAGTTTTTTTATTATTATTATTATTGTTATTTATTTACTCTCAGAAGTCATAAGAATTTTCTTTTTGGCAAAGAAATGACGTTTAATCATAATAGGTAGAAATATGAAGTTTTTCTTTATTTATTTCTTATTTCCACATTTATTGAATATTTATTACACAAATTTAATTGAATTTGAGCTAAACATATTAGCCAGCAGTGTGATGTTTATTCAACTAGGCATATATATATATATATGTATATATATATATACATGTATATATATGTAATAAATTCAGGAGCAGGGGTTGTAGGAGAAGGAACAAACTTAGAATGCAGAAACGACGATCTGCAATGAATAGGAAATTTGGAGACGAATGCAGATTAAATCTTCAGTTTTATTTTCCGCAACATGTTGCGGCTACACACAAGTCAGCACATTAAATGTGACTGTTCCAAAAGGCTTACCTTTTTGTAGCAAGAAAGCTGCAGCAGACAAACAGCTATGCCAAAGCGTGGAAAGCAAGTGCGTAATGTTCAGGATGAGATCTCAAGACAGACTGAATTAGTTTCGGTTCTTAAAGCATTTTGATTGGATGGTTAATATTGCTGTAAAATTATTATTGGCTAAGAGTTTTGACTCCATTTACATCACCAGAATTACATAAGAGTCATATGACATAGATTTTTCTTGGAATGACACAGTGCAGAGAGGGGTTACTATTTTTAGAATAGAGAAGGGAAATTAATTTACGCTGCCAATTTAATCTTTTACTTTTTCTTACACATATATATATATATATGTCCCCCCAAAAAGTAAACATCATGTCTTGTCAGTACATGAAATATTATCAGCTTAACCATAATATTTTGTACCTAGGCACAAAATATTGATAAATTGAAACTTTCTGTAGTTGATCAGTTATCAGATGCAATTCATTTACCATAATATCTCTGAATAAGAATGTTAACTCAATTGCCATAATCTTAAGTTTTTTAACGTTTCACTAATATTACATCATACATACATATGGATAAATATTTCCCGTTATTTAACATCAATATTAATTTTTCCTTTAAACTCAATATTTCATGCTGCATAGACATAATTATATTGTTTAACCTGGACCTTAAAAAATCTGGTTTTAAGTCCCCCTTTTCCCTGTATTCGTAAGTTTACTAAGTGGTTTAATAACAGTGTTAAATTATTATTAAAAGAGTTGTGCATTTTATTAAATTTCTTTGTTAGTTTTTTAAACATATTATCTGATGTGCCTGTATTAATGAGTAGTACATAGTTCTAGTTCATAGTTTCAAATGCTGAGCTTGTTTTAATTAAACATTTTTTATATGTGTTAGTAGCTTTAAAACAATCTTTGTTTCAATTTGTTTAATTGCCTTAATTTGTTTAATTTTTTAACTCTAAAAAAAAGTTTTTTTTTTTTTTTTTTTTTTTTTTTTTTTTTTTTTTTTTTTTTTTAACATACAGTTAATTTTGTAAATTTTATAGAATTTCTTAGAGTATTCAAAGCATATTGATGTTGTCATTTATACTGATGGTGTGCGCAAAACATTTAATCCTGAAGGTCGAGCATATCCATCTAGTGTATGGAAATTTTACCGGGTAAGCCATTTTTGAAAGTTTTCAAGAGCATGATTTTATTGTGATTTTTGTAAGCAGTCCCTAGTGATTGCTTAAATTATTTGTAAGCTATATATGTTTTACACAGGCACTATACTATAATAAACTTGGGAACAATTGACTGTATTATATGACACTTTTATTCTCATTAATTTACATCGCTCATGACCACTCGAAGCCATGAATTCTCTCACTCGCTCTTAGCTCACAATCTCATGTCATGAACTCCAAGAGCTCAAGGCGCATGCGTAGATGCTAGTAATGAAATGCGCTGGCGCAACATACCGCCCGCCTTGACATGATGTAATCATTCAAAATTAAATCTTACAATAAAAAATTTTACAGTGTGACAGTACAAAATACAGGTATATAATTGTAAACATCAAACTACTATAATAAAAAAAGTACAATAGTTAATTACAAACATACTTTTTGTTTACTTTGGCATAGGTAAAACACAAATTTTATTAATTGATCTCTTAAAAATACCTCTTTTTGTTTTCACTGAAACTACTCTAACCTTATTGTCTTTACCTAAGTATATCTCTATGATTCTGCCAAGAGGCTAGTACATCAGGAACATTATCAGTCTTTAAAATTACCATAGTTCCAACCTTGACATTGTCTTTTTCAAAGAACCATTTAGTTCTTCTTGCATTGCATTCAAATAGTTATATCTCCAATACTTCAAATTGTTTGCACTATTATAGTCATTTGCCAGCTCTTTAATCTATTATCGTTAATGTTTAAAATATAGGTTCGCAATAGCCGTGATAGGTCTTCCTATCAGAAATGGCCTGGTGTCAAGATATCAAAATCCTCTGGTTCAGATTATAAGGATTGCAAAGACTAGAATCAAAAATGCCTTCATTTGAGCAATTACTGTAAGAAACTCTCATAGGTTAGTTTCAAATTGCTACTACTCCTTTTCAAATGAAACTTAACAGATTTGACACTGCTCCCAAAGACTCTATTATTGGGAGCTTAGGTGAAATGAAAGACCATCAATACTCTCCCTCAATAAATAATTACCTAATTCATCATCTGTTTGCTGACTAGCCTATTCAATTTCTTTAATTCTGCATTACTACCAACAAATTGGTTGCGTTATCTGAAATATGCGTGCACACTTGCCTCTCCTGCTGAAAAAAACGCTTTAAGGTTTGCAATAAATGCTTGACTACAGGTCTGTTACAACTCAAGATGACAAGCTTTGGTACACAAAACAAACGAAATGCACACATACCCTTGTTAAGGGCGACCTTTTCTCTGATGTGGGTATTTTATAAAATAAGGAACCAAAAATATCAACTCCAACAACAATTGAATGGAAAATTTCGGGCTGACTCTTTCTTGAGGAGTTGACCCATAAGTTGTTGACAGGGCACTGGTTTTGCTTTGAACAATACGACACACTCATGTACTATTTTTCTACAAGTGTGCGCCCGTTTAAGGGCCAAAACCCTTGTCTAACAATAAACAGTAAGCCTTGTGGACCATATGCATGTATTTTCTTATGAAACATCACAATAATTAGATTAGTCAACTTATGATTCTTTGGTAAGATTATAGGAAATTTTCTATCAAAATTCAACTTACATTAGCTAATCTGCCTCCAACTCTTAAAATTCCATATTGATCTAAAAATGGAAAAACACTCTTTTACCTTGCTATCTGGAGGTACCTTACCCTCCTTTTCAAGGCTTGAAATTTCTTTTTTAAATTCACTATCTTGAATTAGCTTAATCAGTTTAAGTTCAGCTAATTTTAATTTTGAGCTCTGAAGAGGACCTGAAACCTTGTCCTTCTCCTTGCAGTTATTTACAAACCTAAAAATAAAACTTAAAACACGAATAATTTTAGTGTAATTGTTACTTAAATTTAAGAAATCCTCAATGAAAGGGTTAGCTTTCACATTAAGAAAAATATTAGAGTCACTAAGGATTTTAAGTTCGTCTGGAAAGCCCTTCACAATGACTTCCACCGGAATCTCTCTATTTGGGTAGTCGTCGTATCTCAGGAACAGAGGGCCTTTCCACCACATATCATTTTGTAGAAGTTTACTGGGATCCAAACCTCGGGATATAAGGTCACTCGGATTCTCCTTTGATGACACATGACGCCATTGATGACCATTAGTCAACTCTTGAATTGTTGCCACTCGATTTGCAACAAACGTTTTCAATTGTAAGGCTCCTTTTGTATCCACGAAAGCACGATCATGGAGTCACTCCACAGATACACTTTGTTCACAGGAATATCTAATGCAGATATTACACTAATAATTAACCTTGCAAAGCTCCAGTCTCGGGATTGTAACTCGTTTTATAGGTGAACTCTGGATTTACTATTCACTAGCCGTGTCTTCACTTCTCTATCTTTTGAACGGTACTTGCGATATATGGCTGCTCTGTATGCTACCTCAGAGGCATCTGCAAATCCATGAAGTTCCACATGGTCTACTTCTGCAATAGGAATAAACCTTTCAATTTCTATTTTACTTAAAACTTCCAATTCAGTAGAGAACTTCTTCCATTCATCAGCTTCCTTTTTTGGTAGTGTTTCATCCAAATTCAGCTTTAACAACCACAACTGTTGGAGGAATATTTTGACTTTACTTATGATTGGCCCTAGTAAATCCAATCGGGTCAAACCATCTTGCAATTGTGGACAATATCTGTCTTTTAGTAACAACTATGTCATTATCAAGTTTTACTCTAAAACAGAAACAGTCTTTCCTAGACTTCCAGGGACACTCCGAGTGTTGTAGATTCTTCTTCATTAGGAAAGGAATAGGAGTGATCTTCTTCCGCAAGTTCAGCATGATTACTGCACCACTTGTGCAGTGTCATTCCTGCACTCTTCAGTATTGCAGTTAACTGAGATTTAAGTTCCTTAGCTGTACTCAAAGATTCCGCTCCACTAAGCACATCATCCATATAAAAATTTTTAAGTAAGACTGGCGCAGTTAATGGAAATTGTGGACCGTTAGCAATCGACAATTGTTTAAGAGTTCTCATAGGTAAGTATGGTGCACTAACTGTATTGTAAGTCACGGTATTTGGTTCGTAGATTTTCACAGGTGCATCACTTTCTTTCTTCCACAGGATTCGCTGCAAGCATCTCTGTTCAGGGTTAATTTCAATCATTCTATACATTCTTTTAATATCTGCCGTAAATGCGAATTGGTATTTTCTAAATCTAAGCATGATTGAAAAGAGATCATCTTGAATAACCCCTCCATTACACTGTAAAGAATTTAGTGAAATTCCATTTGATGTTAAATATGATGCATTAAACACTATTCTCAATTTAGTTGTTTTTTGAGGACGGTATATTCCATGATGTGGCATATAGTACACTACCCCAGGCTCATTTTTCTCTTTAACCTCAGTTAGCTCTTAAATACAGACTTAAATATTCAGGGTCTTTAACTAATCTTTTCCATAGGGAATTTAATCTCTCAAGGGCAAAATCTTTTGAATTTCCTAAGCAAATAGGATCTTCCTTTAGTGGCATTGTTACAATGTATCTCCCTTCTTCATTCCGCTTATGAGGTTGCACATATTGTTGTTTCCTTATTTTTTTGGAATGGCTGTTTCAACATTCTCTATTTCCCAAAATTTTCTCATTGTTTGTTCTAAGTCATCAGAGGCTTTTTGTAAAATAAGATTCAAGTTTTCATAACAAATTTGTTCAGAATATTTCGAAGAAAACCTTAGCTTCTAAAAGCATTTCTATGCATTCTGGAACATTAAAGTTCTCATCGGCTAATTTTACGTTACAAAAATCCTGCATTTTAATATCAATTTTCCTAGAAGGAATCAAATCTTGCATAATTTTGGGTACTACTAATAAATCTGAATGTCTCGCTTAACTTTTATCTTTATTGCTAATGCATGCCGAAACTCTCGATCGAATTGTAAACAAGGAATCATTTAATCTGAAAATCGCGATGTTTACCTTCTTAGAGTTCAATAAAAATTTATTTGCACAGTCTTCTTATAAACGATAAAGTACTACCCCCATCAAGTAATGTTTTAACTGAATGTAGCTTACTCATATCATCATTAATAAAGCAAATTTTTATTTACACTAGTTGCTGTAAGCAGAGCATTACGGTTGTTAAACAGAAAGTCTGGCACTGGGGGGGGGGAAGCACACTGAAATATACTCGCTGTTTCATTTTTATTTTTTTCCTTCTCTATCCATGATTTATTTTATACTGGAAAATGCAGTGTCACATGGTGTCTTTTCCCACAAACAGAACATGAAAACTTTGATTTGCAGTTTTTAACGGAATAATTTAATGCTATGCAATTAAAGCACAATTTATTACTTTTGATTATTTCAACTCGATCATTCACCAGTTGTTTCAAGAAATTTGGGTATTTTGCCAAAAAATGCTTTTCCTGACTAAGAACGCACTTTAAGCATTTTACATCGGCAAGGAATACCTTTGAAACATTTTTTGACGTTTTGTAAATGTTGCAAGATTTTTTAAATCTGTCCACACTTGTGGCAAGGGACTTTCTGTGAGATGTGAAAAATAAATCTACCTCTTTACCGAGTTTTCACTGGGTTTAAACCACTTGTCTCCTTGTCTCACACAAATATGAGTTGCTCTTTCTTTATCAAGAGTTTGATAATTTTTATCAGATATTATAAGTTGATTTAACGACTCAAAATCCTTTATGTCTCTTAATTTTAAATAATAGTTCCAACTAGTAGTTAAACGCAAAGCAAACTGAACATGAGTTTCGTTTTGTAGTCTAGATGCTTTTCTGAATTGCTCCAAACGTAAATACAGTGTTGGTTGAAATTCTCATAATACTATTTCTTTTACTTTTGTGTAATTAATAAAATCTTTCTCCTCTATATAAGTGATAATATTAGATGCCTTATCACCTAACAAATTCAACAGGATTTCTGCTTTGTATTTTTCCGGTATTCCCTTAGAGACAAATGCTCTTTCCAATAAGGAAAAGAAAAAACCCCAACCTTCTGGTACTGTAGGTATTTTCATAGTTAAAGTTCGAACACTTTTTATAAATGTGTCCAATGATTCGTTATTACTTTCACTTTTAGTATTATCTTTTTTATCTGGTTTTATTTCCGTGCATATTTTAACCAACTCTAACTCTGCTTTAGAAACGTTCTAACTTAATTTTCTAAAGCTCTAACTGTTTGGATTCCTTAGATTTTCTCCTCTCAATAATCATGTTTGCAATTTCATTCACAGAATCTGGATCAGATTTATACGGATCACTGTTTTTGATGGCTGTGTTTAATTCTAAAACTATCATTTTATCTGTTAGCTCAACTCCTATTTCAAAGGCTATGAGCCTTAAATCTTCTTTAAAGTTTTTTAAAGTTAAATCTTCTTTAAAGTTTTTTAAAGTTAAATCTTCTTTAAAATTTTGCACATTTAAACATTATACTCTTAATAAAATAACATGAGATAATAAGTAATTGTTATCAAATACTTAAACACAGTATATAAATACTGTAAATTTTCTGAAAACTCTTATATCAAAACAGTATCTCTAATAAAATGTCACTTTATTTTTAAATCAAAACTGCTGACTTACTCGTTACTTGTGAATAACTCATAATCCATAGATCTTTGGCTCAAGGACGGACCATGTTTTTTTACACAGGCACTACACTATGATAAACTCGGGAGCAATGTACTGTATTATATCACACTTTTATTCTCATTAATTTACATCGTTTATGACCACTTGAAGACACGAATTCTCTTACACGCTCTTAGCTCACAATCTCATGTCACAAACTCCAAGAGCTCAAGGCGCATGCGTAGATGCTAGTAATGAAATGCGTGCACAGGTGCAACAATATAATTTTATTATTATTGTTTTAATCTGAATTGGCAAATGTGTATTTTTAATCAAAGATTTCTAGTTGCTTTTTCCAAAAATGATATATTTTTAGCTTATCTGTCAATTATTGTTTGTATTAGATTTATGTAACCAGCTCTCTTATATTTTGGTTAGTTTTTTCGCCATGCTGGCTTCTGTATTAACTTCTTACTTGTTCTGTATTTGGGTTAAAATCAGTAATATTCAAAATAATTATTCTCATAAAAATACATTTAGATATCAGTTTGATTCTGACACATTGAAAGTATAATATGTATTTAATCTGTATCATTAAATGAAACATAACATTTAGTTTATTATATTATAATTGGCTTAGCTACCACTTTTTCTCTTGCTGTGTTCATTTCATTTTCCTTTTCAGAAACCATTTTCATGATATTAAAAGTTAATAAAAAGTACCTAAAGGTCTTCCTTTTTAGATTTAACGCAAATGTTAATTACTCCAGAATGCTTTATATTAGATTAATTTTTAGCTTTAATGTACTTATGTTCAATGTAATTTCTTGTGTTTTTGCATAATTTTAAAAAAATCAAGGAAATACTTACAGTTATTACGTTTAAATAAATGACATGCTAAGTGAAGCATGTATTGTAGCTTAAAGTAAATATATTAAAATGTAATGTGAATTTTTTTTTTTTTTTTTTTTTTTTTTTTTTTTTTTTTTTTTTAGGAAGGATGTTCTGTCAGAATGCAAAATCCTCAGTCATATCATGACAATCTATGGAAACTTTGTTCTAATCTCCAAGAATATTTTGGCAGTTACGTTGGTGCAAATTTGTAAGTGTAACTAATTTTTAATGGGCTACTAAGTAAATTTATTTGTTGACAATTAATAGACCTGTTTGTTTTGTGTTCTTTTAAAGTGGACTTGAAAACAATGCTAAATTGAACGTGAAATTCACTCGTATATAATAATAATATTTTTCAGCTAGGCTAGTTTAAATTTTGCATAATTTTAATATTGTAATTGCAGTTTGAATTTTCAGCTGAAAAATCAGCTGTATATTTGTGATTAAGTTTAACTCGCTTTCATATTCAAAAATTGTTTGCACCATAAGATGTGAATCATATTGTTTAATGCATACGAGCTAAATGTATTTAATGCATCTGCTTTATTAAAAAAAGTCTGGAAAAAAATTTTTTCCTGTTTTTAATTTAGTAATAGTTTGATATTTTATGGTTTCCGACACCCCATTCGCAATGAATAACAGAAAAAGTGTTCGTTGCTAAAAGTGACAATCATGACAAAGTGATGATTGAATGGGTCAGACAGCGTAGCAGCGAGAGCGTGCCATTGACAGGTCCAATGCTAATTGCTCAAGCCAAAATATTTCATGAAGAAATGAACTTAAACACTGAGTGCACATATTCGACAGGTTGGTTAACCAAATTAAAAAATCGCCATGCTATAAGTATAAGATACTTAAAAATTTCAGGTGAAAATGCTTCAGCCGATACTGAAGCTGCTGAACAATTTTTAGATGAATTCATTGAACTCATTACTAGTGAGCAATTATCTCCAGAACAAATTTACAATGCTGATGAAACTGGTCTTTTTTAGCAATATGTACTGCAAAATACCTTGGCAGTCTCTACAGAAAAAGCTCCAACTGGTGTCAAAAATTCCAGAACAAGGACTAACAATTTTAGTGTGCGCAAATGCAGCAGGAACGCACATGTGCAAACTTTTCATAATCAAAAATCAGGCAAGACCTCAAGCATTTAGAGGAGTAACGATTTTCCCCGTTATATATTGTGCAAATAAAAGAGCATAGATGACACAAGCGTTAATGAATGATTGGTTTGAAAATCATTTTATACCCGAGTCTTGGCAACATTTGAATTCGGTTGGTTTACCTGATGATTCAAAAATAGTCCTGATTGTAGACAACTGTTAGGCTCATACTTCAGTTAAAGTTTTATTGAAAGAGAATGTATCCGTATTATTTATTCTTCCCTCCAAATTTTACGTCTGTCATTCACCCTATGGATATCGGAATAGTGCAGCGCTTTGAAATGCAAATATAAAGTAGCATTTTTAAAATCCTATGTTAAATTTCTTGAATAATGTCCAAGACTATTCAAGAATTTTTTTAAATATTTTAGCAATAAAAATCTGCTGTGTGGAGCATCGCAAGATCGTGGGAGGATGTGTCTCCAGATGCTGTTAAAAAATGCTTGCTATAATTTACATGGCCGGCTACCATATTTCATGGTAAGGATGATGAAGATGCTAGCCGCGAATTTGAAGGTTTTCGGATACCGCGAACTAAAGGTGAAATTTTCCAGTTATTGGATTTTGTAAAGAAATGTGGAGAAGCGGTAATAAATGAAGATGATATAACGGAAGTTTTTCATTGCGATGACAATGCGCCAATCATCAATCAATTAACGGACGGCGAAATCTGTAGTGTGGTTCTAGATCCAGAAAATACCGCTACTGATAGTGAAGAAAGTGACGAGTAGATTATTGAAAACAAAAAAATATCGATTGACAAGTTAAGTCGGTATTCTTGACACAGCATTTACAGGACTTGAACAGTGGAACTTTGTAACTGAACAAGAAATTATGTCTGTTTATAGAATTAAAGAGAAAGTGTTAACACAAAAAACGAAGCAACTTACATTGAAAGAAATGTTTAATAAAGTAAACAAATAAGTATTAAGCTTTGTTTTTTTCTTTTGTAAATTTTGGTACTCTTTACAGATTATAATTGCTCTTTATTTCATAAATGACGATTTCATATTTTTAATTGTATAATTTCTGCATGCCATCTTACCAGATTTAAACTGATGATCTAAAAGCAGGAAAAATCCCAAATCTCTAGAAACGCCAAAGTCCCGACGAGTTTGGATTTCGGTCTTTGTACTGTACTTGTTATTTATAGAGGTATTCATCTGTAAGAAGGAATTCACTGTGTGTATTTTATATGAAAGACAATGTGCATGGTAGGTGTTAGTACCTGAATGTTGCTCATTGGCATACAGTTAATTTGAAAGCATGTTGAATTTTAATTTAAAAGTTCTTAGAAGTATTATGGAATACTTTACGAGTGTAAAGAGAGGGCTTGAAATTCATTTACAAATGCAGTCCAACAAATAAGAATCTGAATGATTTAAAAATGTGAATTCTTTGCCAAAAATTTTTAATTCTTATTTCTTTAATGTTGAAAATATCTTTGAGTTGTCTGCTTTAATTTTGTTAAAAATCCATTTCTTGACATGAACAGGTAATGAAAAATCATGCATAATGAACAATTGAATGGTCATTAGAACATTTTATTTTAAAATTATTATTTAGACTATTAAAGAAATGAGAAACGTTTAAAAGTATCTCAGTGTGAAGTTTTCTTATATAATGCAAATCTTATACAATGCATTACTTTTAAGAACTGATAGCTGCTCAGAATTTCTAAAAACGAAACTTCATTAAATCCATCAATTTTCAACATAATAATAATGCTAGCCCCAAAAGGGACGATCCTAAAAGCCTTCTTCTGACAAGAACAATGTAACATCTTCTAAACGAAGCAATTCCAAATTTACTCGTATCTTACGACCTAAATCTTATTCCAAAACACTTAAAATCTCTAACCTCCATAAAAATTTTATTGAATTCTCCTGCAGAATGAGGGTACACTAAATTATCCTAATTAATATTTGTTATTAATAACAGCTTGCAACAACAAAGTGATGTAATTCCCACTTGTGGCATAGTTTGTTTTATTTCCCAATGCTCTGCTAGCTGGGATGTAAAAACTGGCTTCTGCACCGTTCATCTGAAATCAAGCAGTCAAAGATGTGGTATTTACAAGAATTTGCAAGGTATTTGCAAAGAATATGTATTGTTAAGAGGAAAACTTCTCTGCAACAGGAGTGGCTTCGTCCCAACGTAGAGGGAAACAGCTGCGCATACGCGAAATATCTGTCATCAAAGCTCGAAGCCTGCGTCGAAGTTCAAAGGTCATGTTAATCAAGAGTTCATAAAATGAATATCGTTTTAAACTTCTTTAAACTTTAAAGAAAAAGGAAATATTGTTTCATGCAAGTAAATTAATTAATGGATTAATTATTTTTAGCAAAAAAAAAAAAGTACGAAAATCCGAGTTTAAATTATCACAAAAGAAGAAACTTTTCTTTTTTTTTTTTTTCCTTCAAAGAACATTTCTTCTTAATACGTGGTCTTCAATTTCCTGTACACATCGCGGAGGGGAAAATTCGCACTGCCAGGTTCCTTCGCCAAATCCCTTGGCAGATTTTTCTTTCCGCTTTTTTCTCCCACGGGGTATAGCAAACTGGTTTACATTATGTCTATGGAACCTTTCCTTTTGTACATAAATGTTCTTTTGTATTTGGAAGGGTGACCAGTGCAAAGGCTGACTGCGCACTGGTTTTTATTTTTTTGATAATGATAAATGTTACAGTTATGAATTTATTTATGCAAGTAGAATAACACAGATATTTAAAATTAAAGCATAATTTAATATAGTATAAACATTAGAAGTAATAAAATATTTACATATGACATATTTATCAAATATTTGAGTATAAAAAGGATTAATCTTGAAACAAAAAATTTTCCTTTAAACTGTAAATCTATTCAAAGCATACTGCAGAGTAAGAAATTTCAAGATATAAATAACAGCAAAAACTAATTCTCAAGTAGGTAGATTTATGCTTTGTACTTTCCTACCGTTTAAAGTAGAATGAATTTCACCAGTATCTTGTGCGTTTATTTGATTGTGTACTGGCATCGATTAGAAAGTCGCCAAAGATGAGCAAGTTTGGGTTACATTATGTGTACGGTACCTTTCCTCCTTCATCTATTCATATGCTTTGGCTTAACATTAAGTGAAGCATGACAGATTTTAAATCAGATACAATACAAACATCAGTGAACTTTGGAAATTATGTTCTCCTTCTGTCTGGATCCAGTATTCAAGCCAATGCCAGGAAGCTTTTATGACCCATCTCAATATGTCCTGTGGAGTAGCACATACTTCATGGCTGATGACTGTCTTCAGTTTGTCAGTTTTCTGTAAATTATATGAAGGACTAAATCAAATCTCCAAAGCAAGAAATAAAATTATTTGGAAATGTCTGTCAGAGTACAGCCATTATATCATCCTGTTGGAACCAAACAGTATCTACCAACTGTCTTGCCCTCACCTGGCTCTGCTGATCTACATTATTCCACACCAATACTTCCTGAGCATCTGTAACCTATGTTTAAATGAATGCAATATGCAATAGCTTTTGTTTCTTTTCATGAAATCGAAAAGTAATCAAAGTTTTGATTTTGAATTTGAATTTGGAGCTACTTTTCTCTTTTTAGAAAAGTGGAACAGCAAACATTCTGATTTATTTAGCATGTAAGTTACTTTTAAAGATGATAAGATTTTTAAATTGTTTCCAAAATATTAAAAATATCGCCAAATGCTCAAACTTTTATCAAAACTTTCATTTACTTGATATCTTTCTATAAATCTAAAATATAGGAGAGCAGAAGTCAAAATTACATGGCATCCAGGTACTCAACAACTCATCACTACTGTCATCAGATTCATTATTTGTACTATAAAAAGTTCACTTCATAGTCACTGCTGGATACACTACAGTTGTATAATCATTATCTGAAAATTTTTATGTTATCAGAAAGCATATGGAAATAAAATAAATAAGCTATAATTGTGTGAGTCTGAATAAATAGGTTATAGTTGCACTATACAGCATGAACATCTTTAATTCTTTAGCCTGCCAATACCACTGATATTAGAAGTAGTGATCAATACCTCGTCTCAGAGTTTTGACAAGAACAAGTAGTAAAGTCTGAAAAAAAGTCTTTAACATGACATAGTTATTCTTTTGATACTGAAAGTTTTTGTTGAATTTTGTCATTATATAAAAATAAATAAATGACAAAACAAACTGATACTATTGACGTGGTTGTGAGTAGAATATGTATTTTCTTTGGGTTCAAAGTAAGAGATTTATGTTACAGCCCAAAAAATTGCCTGCTAAAATCACTGATAATTTTGTTAACTTGTTTTTTTATCACCTCTACAAAGTATTGGATGTAGAATATTCGAGGCATTTTATGTGCCTGTTTTTCTGAAAATGATATCTTAAGCTGATAGAATTACTTTTCTTTATTTTGGGTGGAAAATAGTTGGCACTCATTTCTAAAACAGCTTCAAGGATTTTTTACTGGAGTTACAACTTTCTGCCACCACATGAAATATGACTTCAAATGATGCCCTTGCTTGTTTTATATACAAAATATGTTTTGCCATTTTGAAGAACCCCATACCTGCTCGATATTTTGCATGTGAACTCCAGAATGTGCAAATTGAAACACTGACAGTTACTCAGCAGTATATTAAACTCTCATAAGAAACTAATAGCTTCACATTCATTGTTTGGTAAATAAATGTTCTTAAAACATAGTGACATCATATCATTGGAGTGGAGTTTAATTTTTATTATGCTGCCAGAGTTGGCAGCTATTCCTTCTTCCTTGGGGGGAGGGAGTATTTTGTATATTTTGTTTACAATTATATTTTGTTATTTTAAAATTTCAAAAATAGATACCTGACACCACCTGGATCACAAGGTTTTGCACCTCATTATGATGACATTGATGCTTTTATTCTACAGCTGGAAGGAAGAAAATTATGGAAAATCTATCCTCCTAGGTAAGAAAGAATGACCTAAAAATTTCATTAAAAAAATAATAAAAAAAAAAAAAAAAATCATCTAATTGACTCGATGACTAAGCAAATTATGTACAGTTCCATAGTTGATTTTTCTTAAGTGAAAGAGTTATGTGATAAAGTACTTCTTAAACATTTTCATTCAAGAGCCCTTTTTATCATTGAGATTTTTTCGTGGCCCCAGACATTTAATATAGTACTAAGATATAATGTAACTATTTTCCCATGCATAATTTATTTCTTGGTTTACAATATATGCATAAAAAATATAGTTTTAGAATTGTTTCAAGTATTCAAAAAGAATTAAATTAAATCTTGTTTTAATGAGAGTGAGGTGCTTGTTTTTGGCTGCATAACAAATTAAATCTTAATGCAATATTTAACGTTGCTGGACATAAAGCATCTGCAGAGTTTTTCTGTGTTGAATGATATTTGGATTTAATGTTATTGGATTTAATGATATTTGAATGCTAAAGCTGAAAAAGATGTTTCACATAAGTATGTGTGCTGAGTGACAAAATAATATTTAATGACATTTCAGAAATTATTGGCACTTCGGTTCTAGCTCCGGTCCAGAATTCGATCAAGAATTTTTATAAACTCAAATTTTTGAGTCACTCGATAGCTCAATGAATTCTTTTTGAGCTTTATATTACAGATGATTAGTCTCAATTAATGTAATTTCTTTAAAAGTATGGTTAATATAGTTTCTTTAAAATCATTAATTAATTAGTTAAATTTTCTTGATCCCAGCATTTTGCTTTGCGATCCCCTTTGAAGTTGTGACTCAGAGTTTATGAAATGCTGATGTAATAAGGCAGCTACCTCTGCATCTATTGCTTATTCTTTTAGCATAATATTTCATAATTGTATAGTACTGTAAGAGTAATTTTGTTCATATTTAATCAATGTATTAATTTGTAAAATTAACATGTGTATAATATTGTATTTTTTTTAAAAAAAAGCATTTATTTTTTAGAACTAATAAAGAAGTTCTCCCACGAACCTCAAGTGGTAAGCAATTTTCGTACTAACTGTAAATTTAAGAGATGCATATGCCAACTTTAGCATTTAAACAGAGCACATGTTCAGGATACTTGATTATATAATTAATTTTACAGTTGAAATTAATGTGAATTTATCATAAAAAATGTTAATGTGTTTTTAAAAGATTAATTATATCAGATTTTTATGAGTATTTGCATAACATTATATCAGATTTTTATGAGTATTTGCATACATGAAGTTAAACATTAGTAATAATAATAAAAGAAAATTTTTGAAAATGAATCCTTTTAAAAAATGTATTTATCTTTTATAGTTATTTTATGCGATGAGGGTATAATTTTTTTTTTTTTTTTTCCAAAATTTGCAAATATTCACTGCATGTCCTAAATTAAAGAATAATCTGAAAAAATTTACTTACTATTTAATTTCCAACCAGTGTCTTAGGTTAATTTCTGGAACTGAGCACAAAATTGGATTTCAGCATGTGAAATATGAAAATTAGGCTTGTTTCTTTGTAAAAGCAAATTAAATCTTTGTTGTTCTACAATTTGTACTTTTTATTGATAAACACAAACCAGACACTAAGTGCTGTTAGTAAATTAATTTTGAAATTACTTGTGTGTGTGCATATATATGTATATATATATATATTGCATGCTTTTATTTCATAAAGATCTCATTAAATAGCTAAGCTTCAGCAAAGGAACATTTGGAACTTTATTGACCAAAACAACAGCTTTTGTAACAAGATAAACAGCTATAAATAGTAATTCAGAAGTTAGAGGAAAAAATCCCCCCCCCCCCCCGATTTTGCAGCTGAGGATGGTGGTTCGGTAATACCATCGAAACTAGTCCTGTGAAAATTTTGAAAATATAATGCTGATTTTTTGTTGTTTGTCTTCTGAATTAGTATTTGTCCGGCGTGTTATTGTGTCTTAGCTATAAATAGCCCAAGAAAAAAAGAGCTAAAGCAAAATTCTTAAAATACAGGAAGTATTCTAGTTCTGCAAAATTGCTCATTAAGTCTGAAACAATAATTACTATACAGAAGCTCAATATCTTAGTGAAACTCTGAAACCAAACTAACTCACAGCTGCTCACTGCATCTTATTTATAGGATTGGTTGAAAAAGAGGTGAACATTTCTGGAAGCTTGTAATGTTGTACGTTCCTTGGAAGAAAAAATCATTATTAGGGTTCTGAAAATGCATTTTCTGGAAATTTCCAAATAATTTCCAATTTGGCAAAACAGTTGTCATCAAAAGCCTGGCAACAAAGTCTGTGCCAATATCTGTACTTCTGCTTAAGCTTTTTTAACAGTTCTAATAGGAATTGACTCAGAAGTAATGGACTTACAACATGATATACAAGAAATGAGCTCTTACATTGAATTATGTTGTTCTTATGTTCCTGTCTTTAATTAATCTGCATGCAATACTTGTAGAATTATCAAGAATTTAAAAGCTAAATATTGCCAGGTCTAATGAGGCTGCCATTTTGTTTACATTTGAAACTCTTAATAGAATACTGAATTAAGTCAGTTTGTGCACCAATTTGTGTCTTTTTGCCTAGAGGGACCAAAAGTTAGCTTTCAGTTTTGTGAACTGAAAATTTTGTCTTCCTGTAGATTGGTTGAAGTGCTTGTTTTTATGTATAAACTCTAATTTTAATTTTTTTTTTACTGGACTTGGTAGTGGTTTTTTTTTTTTTTTTTTTTTTTTTTTTTTTACTTTAGGATTTTTAATGAAAACTGAAGTGCAGAAAAAACGGAAGTGCCTTGTACAAGGCCATATGTTCCTTGTAGGGCCTAATTTGACTGTACAAGGAAGTCATGTAGTTCCCACATCAGCTTTTTATATTAAAAATATTCATAATTTTTTTTTCCTGCATGTAATTTGCTTTTTTGTTCCAGTCAATTTTACACAAGATGAAATTGGTACTCCTATCATGGAATGTGAATTACTTCCTGGTGATTTGCTGTATTTCCCACGTGGTTTCATACATCAAGTAAATATTTCAATTCTTATTTTGAAAGTAATGTGCATTGTTACACATTTTGTACAAAATTAAGTGTTTTCTTTTGCACTGTGTCTTAAATCATAAACGCTGACACGGTGTGGTAATATCATTTTTTACCCCCAAAAAATTTCATTCATATTAGATAAATATTTAACATGAGTTTTCTAAAGATTTTATCTGACTTCCTATAATTGTTACATGAATAAGTCTGAAATATGATTTCTTTAAAAATTTTATTAAATTTTTCCTATGAATAAATAAATTTACTGCCATCACATTTGTTCAAGTCACCTGTATGTAAAGAAGAATATATTTTTATTATTTTTGCTGCTGCTCATTTTGTGTGTTTTTAAGCATTTTGATTGTACTATAGAGCCAAAAAAAAAAAAAAAAAAAAAAAAAAAAACTGCCGAAGGTTAACCAATGTAGAATATGCTGTAATTATCTTTAAGCAAGTCATTAATTATATCCACAATATAAAGTGGTGGACATCTGTGTGTATAATATATATATATATATATGTGTGTGTGTGTGTGTGTTTAGAGCTGTTTTGATCTGACAGTGACAAGCTTTTTTGATGATTTAATTCTGGTATTTCCTTCCCATTTCTTACATTGACTCATTTTAGAAGAATGATTTTCTTCATCGAACCCTTTACAGTTTTCTTTATAATATATCTGGGTTGCCACACTACTTGGAAAACGGAAAAAGTTGAGTTATTCAAAAATTAACCAAAAAAGTTATTTAAAAATTTTAGCCAAAATCTGGGAAAGTCGAGAAATTCCATACAGCAATTCCCAAAAAAGTGATTTTTGCACCAACATGAGGAGTGGGTGACTTTCTTGGCAAATTATGTATCATGAGTGTCATTCTGGCAGCTGGCATAGAGCCAGTTTTTGCAGCACCAATCAGATTGTCTTTCAGAGAGGCAAAGCCAAGTTTCCAGCATTTTTGGTTTCCAGTAACTTCCATAATCCAGAGAGAGTGAATCGCGTGTTCTTGCAAAGAACAAGAAATCTGTGTATGTTGAATGAAAGAAAATTCTGCCTACTTGTTTAGGAAGCTTGTTTTTCAGTTGTCATCTCCAGTTAAAAAATGTGGTAAGTAAAACTTTTTAATCTTTGACACATTAATAAGTAACTTTTTTTAATGTATGTTTATGTAACATTTTTAATGTATTTGTTCTTTAAAATTGAATTTTTATCATTTTAAACTATATTCACTTTCTTAAAAGGCACTAACTAACTATACTAACTATATTCACTTTCTTAAAAGGCACTGATGAATTTTTAAAGTTGTTGCCTTTTAAATCATATTATTGTGCATTGTTAAAAAAAATCATACTGAACTCTTGTGCTTATTAACATCATTGGTAGTGTGGATATATCTGTGCTTTGAAATGATGTGCGTGCACACACACACACAAATTTTTTTTTTTTTTTTTTTTTTTTTTGGTAAATGCAAAAATATTTGTTTTGAACTTGATTGCTTTGGTGAGATTCAGAAACCAATTTGTTAAGTATTATAAAGTTAACCCCCACTTTTTTATGCTCTTTGTATAGTAAAAACAAGTGATCAGTCCTTCTCCCCCTTGAAATTTCTAAATTTGTTCAGCCCTCCCATCCCCATTCTCATACAACAACAACAACAAAAAAAAAAAAAAAAAAACTCTTGCATTTTTTTTTTTTTTAATAAATGTCTTTATTATCATTCTGCAGTAACAGTTTGAAAAAATAATACTCAGTCATCTAGGCTAAGCATGTAATATATCTACATTCCCCAAAATAACATTGATTATTGTAATTTAACTTTTAGTGTTTTTCAGTCTTTAAGCTTTCAGGGAGGAATGGCCTTGGTATTCTCAATTTGAAGGAAGGGAGATGTCACCTTAGTGGTCATATGTTTCCCCCCTCCCCTTATCCAAGCTGAAAGGGTCAGGTGAACTGTCATGTTTGATGTCCCTGGAGTCTTAACAGGTTGTTGTGTTAAGGATCCGGTTTTCCCTATCATTCCCTTTCCATTCTTGCAGTTTCAGAATTTGAAGATAGCCTCATTTGCAAATCATTAACAGAGCCTTGCATTTCTTTGAAATAAATATTCTATATCTTCTTGGGGATTTCTTGGGGTTATTTTCCTTAATTTTATAGCAGTATCCTGAAACAGAAAAGAGGGCTGACTTAAGAAGAAATAAGAAAGCTTCTTCAAAAGTTTGTTAAATGTTAAATTATGTTTCATTGTAAAACACAAATTCATGTTACTAGGTATTGAAGAGAGCAAGCATTTTGTGACTTCTTCCCATTCTTTCAAAAACTATATACACCACACAGTTTTCCCCCTTCTGATTTGCAGGTTTTTTGCTACAAAAAATTTTCAGTATGAAATACACAAACAATGTGTAGTACAAGTCACATTTGATCTAAGCACTACATATTTTAAATTCTTGTCAGCTTTTGCTCTCAAACATTACATTTTCATGCAAAGTTTTAACATTTATTAAGACTAAAGTTTTTATTTTTCTGCTATATAAATTTCTATAGAGTTTAAGTTTTTAATCATTTATGTAGTGCTAATTTTTAATTTTTTTTTAATCATTCCTTCCATGAGGGAAAAATGTAAAGAATTTTGGTAATTTTAATGAAATATACAGCAAAACAAATTAAACATTAAAAGGAAATGTAACAGTAAATAATGTTTCTGTTTACTGCCACATTTGCATGATGTTTCCTTTTTTTACGAAGCCATGAATGTTTGTAAATATAAGAAAATAAGTTCGTAAAATGTATAAAAAAAATTTCAGATGCACCAAAAAAAAATGAGTTGGAGAAAGCTAAAATCTAAAAATATCTATAAAATGGCAAATATTGGGAAATTTTGTACAGTCAAAAGTCGTTAATTCGGACACCCATAATCCGGACCTCAAAGCTACAAAATTTCTGCGCATGTGGCGTGTTGACACAGGCGCATAGGCATTTACGTATGCGCGTACGACCTTTATGGCTGCGAATATGCATGTGCGCATGCACATAATACATTTACGCATGCGCATTTAATGTATAACGGACGGTATTAGCTAAGCTAAAATTATCTAATTCAGTTAATGTTGCAGATTGCGTTGTTCCTTAATCTTCGAATTGGATCCAGCTTATTATTTTTTGCACACTGTTAGAGCAATTTTATAAAAGTAAGCTTGAACTTTCGATTATGTCAAATAAAATTTCCGACATATATTTACTAATATGTAAAGGATCTACAAAGCGAAAGTATGTTTCGAAGTCCATTAAACAGAAAAGTCGAATTGCTGCAAAAAATGGATAAAGGCATATCCTTTGTTTCTCTAACCATTCCGAAATCTGTTTATCAATTTCACGCTGCTCCGCAGCGGGGATGGGAGGAACACAGCGGTGCGCAATGAATTGGAAGTTGATCTGTCAATGCTATCCTTATCTTCAGGGCAGATGTTTTTATTTTATTTGGCTTATAATTCCTTACTAAATATAGTACTTCATCTCAATGTACTCCTCTTTGATATGATTTAAATCAAATTCCTCGTCATTATAATTTACTTCCGATAGTGAAGAAAGTGACACAGAGGTTATTGAAAACGAAAAAAATTCGATTGACAAATTAGTCGGTATTCTCGACACAGCAATTATAGGACTTGAACAGCAGAACTTTGTAAATGAACAAGAAATTGTGTCTGTTTATAGAATTAAACAGAAAGTATTATCACATAAAACGAAGCAACTTAAACAACTTACATTGAAAGAAATGTTTAATAAAGTAAACAAATAAATACAGTCAAAAGTCGTTAATTCGGACACCCATAATCCGGAATGATCTATAATCCGGACGGCAAAGCTACAAACATTCTGCGCAAGCGTCACGTTGACGCATGTGCATAGGCGTTTACGTGTGCACGTAAGACCTTTACGGCTGCGAATATGCGTGTGCATAAAACTTTTACGCATGCGCATTTAATGTGCAACGGATGGTATAAGCACGAAGCAACTTGAACAACTTACATTGAAAGAAATGTTTAATAAAGTAAACAAATAAATGTTAAGTTTTTTCTTTTTGTAAATTGTGATACCCTTTAGATCATAATTGTTCTTTATTTCATAAATTACAGTTTCACATTTTTAATTTTGTAATTTCTGCATGCCATCTTACGAGATTTAAACTGATGATCTATAATCCGGAAAAATCGATAATCCAGAATTGCCGAAGTACCGACGAGTCCGCATTAACGATTTTTGACTGTCTTAAGCTTTTTTTTTTTTTTTTTTTTTAAATTTTGATACGCTTTAGATCATAATTGTTCTTTATTTCATAAATTACAGTTTCATATTTTTAATTTTATAATTTCTGCATGCCATCTTACCAGACTTAAACTGATGATCTATAATCCGGAAAAGTCGATAATCCAGAATCGCCGAAGTCCCGACGAGTCTGTATTAACGACGTTTGACTGTAACATAATTTTAAAATACAGAAGAATTAATTTTTGTTACCACTTTATGAAGGTACTTAATTTGGTAAGATAAATTAAAATCATTACTGAAAACCTCAGACTTTTTTTAAAGGCATGTGTGAAAAAATAGAATGGGATACATTTTCTAGAATGGAAGTATCCATTCTCTTCTGTGTGTCATTGCGTGGTCTGATTTGGAATTCTTTGCAACTTTAAATTTTACCTCCATAAACAAAATCTTCTAGCAGTTTAGACAATAATCCATAAATTTCTGTTCCTTTTGTAAAGAAAGGGGGGAATGAAACTACCTAAAAGAGCTGTTATTGCAAACGGCAAGCGGGGAAGCATAAAGTACAGAAAACATTATATCTTTAAGAATCTTTACAGGCGTCAAATCTCGAACCCCCAAAAATAAGTAAATAACTTTATTTTAATGTTATTCATATTATTTGTTATAACTTTTATTTATACTTTCAGATTTCAGAGAGTTTTCTTTGGCAGAGTTATCGGTATGGTG